GATAGCTGATGAATTGTTCTAATTGCTAAATATGGACTACAACTAAGTCCATAGGTGACTGTGTTTAAGCAATATGTTTGGATGGGATCTGATTCAGAAAAGCGCCAAAGAATCCTTTGATAATTTTGGTGTTGGTTAGCGACGAGAATTTGCCTATACATTTGTTTTATGTCGGCAGTAAAACAAACAAGATGGAGTCGGAATCTGGTTAAAATATTCACAAGATCAGGTTGCAACTTCCTACCAGGCAAAAGACAATCATTCAAAGAGAGGTTGTTTGAACATTTTGAAGATCCATCAAATACCACCCTCAATTTGGTGGTGGAGCTGTCGGGTTTTAACACACAATGGTGGGGTATATAATAGGAGAATGGGGTATAAAAATCATCATCATAAATCTTAGTCATGTGACCAGCAGTGAGATAGTCGTTCATAAAGTCACGGTATTGTTCATATAAGGGGCGATTCCTCATCAAACGGCGTTCTAGGGAATTGAAACGACGTAAAGCAATTTGTTTAGAGTCTTCAAAGGTGGGTTCTTCATTACGAAACGGGAGAGTTACTACGAACCTGCCAGACGAAGTGCGAGTTACTGTATCATCATAAATTTGATCAGCGATGAGTTCGTCGGGGGATGAGATAATTGTTGAGGGGATTTGTTCGAGTTCCCAGAATTTTTTCACCAAATTTTCCAAGTGGGAAGTCGAACAGGAGGTCAGGAAACTATGTGTTTCCAACTGTGATGGGGTACCAACTTTACCCATTATGATCCAACCGAAAATTGTTTCGAGTGCCACCGGTTCATCCAATGAAATAGGTGGACTACCTCCCTTAATTATGTACGCAAAAATGTCAGCTCCTAATAACATTTCGACAGGGCTAGAGATGTTGAAATTGGGGTCAGCTAATTTGAGGTTAGAATATTTAGAAAACTTATCTATGGATATATTAGAGCAAGGCATATCAGAACAGATTTGTGGTAAAATAATCAAGTCAATATCCAAAACAGGGTCAATACTTCCCTTTGGCTTGATACTACATGAGACTCCTTGATTTGCATGAGAGGTTATTTGCCCAACACCCCGTATTTTGATCGATAAGTCCATTCTAGACAATCCCAATTTATCGCAACATCTTGAACTTATGAATGAACACTGGCTAGCACTATCTAAGAGTGCTCGTACAGGCTGATATTTTCCACGAGAATCCAAAACCTCAATCATGGCCGTGGAGAGCAATATTGTACTCTGAATATTAGAAAACATACTAACAGGAGCATTATTAGAAGCGTTTTGAGAATTTATGTGACCTTCACATTGATTAGGATTATGGGGGGAGGAAACTCCTGAAGTACTTGGAGAAGTGTCATGACGAGGGTCTGGATTCACACTATTATCAAAATGTAATAATGAGTGATGAGGTAACGAGCATTTTTTGCATAAAAAACTTGATGAACAAGTAGAGGCTGTATGCTTTGACCCCAAACAATTTGTACACCATTTTTTTGTTTTTACTAAAGCATACCGATCTTTTGGTGAACGAGATAAAAATGAATTGCAATTATAAATGTGGTGTGTTTTATTACATAACTGGCAATTATTAGTCGATGGAACCGAGTTAACCACAAACGAAGAACTTGGTTTAAATTTCAAAGATTTATTCGTGTTATAAGAGAATGACTGTTTGAATTTAGAATTATCGGGTTTATATTTTGAAGTACTCGGGCTCGACAAAGCCACATTATCCATTGCACTGCACTGTCTCTCAAGAAACTCCATGAGAATGTTGAAGTAACCGGGAGAACCTAATTTGGAGGAACATTCAAATTCAAATCGAGTTTGTGTATCTGAGTCGATTCTATCGAACAACATGTTAAACAAAATGAAATCCCATTGTTTTACTGGAAATGCTAGATTTTCTAATACTGCCAAATTTTCATTGAATGTATCTAAAATGTGACGCAATGCTTCAAGATTATCAGTTACATTAATTTTTCTTGTACCTTCAATTGAGTGCCAGTGTGTTGATGCTATCAATCTGACGTTTTCATACTTTTTTTTCAATGCGTTATAAGCAATCATATAATTTGATCCAGTTAGTGGTGTGCATTTCACGATAGATAAGGGATGACCCTTTAGAGAGGCTAATAAATAATTAAATTTGTCTATATGGGCTAGTGAATCATTATTATGAATGGTAGAATTAAACATGTCAATGAAAGTTTGCCATTCCTTCATATTACCATCAAAAACAGGGAGCTCAAGTTTAGGGAGTTTAATATTATTTTTAGTAACGGTGTTCGTGTCAGGTGGAGGGTTTTCATCAAACATTTGAGAATAAATTGCTTGAATGTGATAAAAATCTTTATCAAAGGTAGAAAAAAGTTCATGATGCGGTGCTAAATCAGGATTATCCTGAGTTGAAATTAATGTGATGATACCCTCATGAATTACCTCAAATTTTGAAGCAATACTATTTATATACTTATAGCGACATTTGAAATTGGTATGAACATTTGCATCAGTCAAAGACAATTCTGCAATTCGTTTCAATTCAGCCATTTTTATCAATTCTGTTTCTCTTTGAGCAAGATACCCTTTCAGTCTACGCTGTTCTTGAGTCATTATGAAAAGTGAACGCGCAACCAAGGCGACTGACTGATGAAATTTTACGAAAAATCAAATGTGAAGTGTGTAGGTAAATACCTCGGTTAATACCTAATTACTCTAGTTATTGATAAACTTGATGAAATTGAGAATAATAATTCGCAAAGACGCATGAACGGAATGATAATTAATATATTATGGGTTACTTCATTACCTAAATCGGCGAAGTACAGAATTTTGAGAATATATCGAGAGCGAATCCGAAATCAAAACAAACAAATCGAATTCATAGACCCGGCTAATATTGACGGTCCAAGAAAGAGAGAGACGACGCGATTCATGTGACTTGTGCGAATTCGAAATCCACCGTGGCGCGAGATACCTTTGCGATGATACCTGAATGGAAGTGCGCTAATTATATGCGCGCACGGTACTAACAGGAATACCGTACCGAGATTAATGGCTGCCAAAGAGTTGACCTATTAAAAATTTAAATAATTGAAAATAACACGAAAATTTACTGTACTCTGAAACATTGAAAATTGATTAAAAAAAAATCCGTTTCGTTAGGACCAAATGTCAATGCGATATATAATGGACTGTAATTTGTGTCTTTAAGCGGCAATACAGGATAGGCACTTATCACTCACCGTTTGATTCCTCGTTTCTTTTACTTCCAAATGGTGTAGCAGGACTGGCGGCGGTACCGCCTGATGAAGCTCCTTGCTTATCTTGTGGGTATAATGTTTATCACAGGTGAACACTATGATTGTATCACTCAATTCACTGTAATAGGGGGTGAAGTTATAAGTAAATTTTAATTGAATTATTTTCGAGATTATTCTGGAGCAGGTCACACTCGTTTTTTCCCGAGTACCGAGATGATCGAGACCACACACTTTTCGTGACTCTCTCGTCACATGACCACGTCAGGAGCGACAGTACACTATCCTGTGATTGGTCACGCGCAATATTGGAGGTAATTTTCAATATTAAGTGAACTCTCTGGCAGGATTTACTCGACAGGAATTCATATATAGATCGGGACGAAACACTGGCTCACCATAGTTACTGAGGTTGTTGATATGGTAACAATCAGCCCCTTCGATGACGTTTCAGAAATAGAGTACCTACCGTTTATGGCATTTAATTTTTTTTACGTTATTTCAACGTTTTACCTATCCTTAAGTGTATAAAATAGTATATACACCTCAGGACTAAAGTGATTTTAAATCTCTCGACAAATTATAGGTGGCTCTCCCGTTGGTCGGGCTATAAACTTTTTGTCTAGGGATTTAAAATACCACTTTATTCCCTAGGTGTATAATGTACTATTATCTAATGGCATCAGCGGTCTTATTACTAATTCATGTCGATGTTTCCAAGTAATATATGGTCAATTGGATAATATATACGAAATACCAAACATCACTGTAAGGTACTATTTTTCCTGAAATTTTGACCAAACTAACCACTTCAACTCACGTTGAAGAAAACATTTTTTTAAACATTTCATATGTGTTGAAACGGGATAATTATATTAAAAACGAACCAAATAAATTATTCATAGCATCAATGACATACTCAAGTTTATTATAATACATATAAAACAAGACGTAAAAAACAACATTTGAGATCGTACAAAAACAGCCAAAATGGGACATAACCGATAGAAACTGATTTCAATTAAAACTAGTTTTTCTATTAAAACTTTTCTCTAGTATTATATTGTTAAAATTAAAATATCATGTAAAACAAAGGACATTTCGGATTTGTCCTCAACCACCAGATTTCACCATTTATTCAAAAAAAATTCACTAAAATGAACATCATCCTCTAGATGCCATATTTTGTCACAAAACGAGAACTCAAACCACCAGTTCTAGTGTGAAAGCCACTAACTTGGCAACACTGCAAACAAGTATAGATTGCCGACTGGTCGGCAGTCTATACACTTCCAAAACTGATTGCTCTAAATTCTAAATCTTCAATCTACTTAGAATCTATTTAGCTAGAGTCCAAGGATTATACGACTACAGGAGCTTCTTAGGACGTTTACCACTTTACCAGACCAATGATAGTATAGTGTGTGACGGCAAAACAAAAACTTATACTTTCGTACATCAATAATGAAACACTCTGTTGAATGTATATATAGTAAACCACAGATTTGGTTAGTACTGTGAGGTATTTAGGTGGGTAGGTATTTAGGTGGGTAGATCAGGGATGCAAAGACACGTCGCTGTTGGATGATATTTTCATCAGATTATGCATGCAGAACTTGCAGAAGTGACTAAAGAAGTGCCAACCAACCATATGCGTCATGTTCATTGCATCTTGTTGTGCCAAAGGAATGCAAATATAATTAATTTAATTGTATCAGAATTAGCTCACCTTCAGGAAATCTTGAAAAGTATCTTCGATTGATAACAATAACACAAAACAAGTAAAATAACAATCATATAACTCACAGTGAACTTGAACGCTAAGCGCACGACCGCACGTGCTCGGTGCTCGTGAGACCCGAACGCCGAACGTATGATAAACAGTGTTGCCACAGGCATATTTTTTTTCGAGCGAGCTTTGCTGCCAAAAACGACCGAGATCTCAGCTCAAAGAGCGAGATTTTGTTATGGTTTTTGAGGCGATCTCAGTTTTCAAAGTTATCTGGTCAAGTAAGTTCAGCTGGTAGAAACATAAAATGCATCGCTTGTGTCTCAGGCCATATCTATCTATTCATGAACTATTGTGGTAATGACCCTAATGACTGAGTTTCTCCCTCTTTGTTGAAGTTTATGCAAAGTCAGTTGAACAGATCATCAAACGAATGTCATGCCGCGCTGCCGCACTCTTTGAACTTTCAAAGGGACCGACGGCTTGCGGTGATGTGGTTTTCCAACTGACTTTGCATAAACTATACCATTCCATTCCACTGAGTATTTTGGCTTTTCCTAGTTTCTGCAAATATAGCCGAAATTCGAAAAAATATAACCTTCATTATTCCGTATTGTGGCCTACTAGCAGAGGTAAAAACGAGCGAGATTTGATAGAGAGGAGCAAGAGAGTGAAGTAAGTGACAAAACGAGCGAGATCTCGCCCAATTTGCGCCAATGAACTCAATATATTTGCGCCCAATCGAGCAAGCTGTGGCAACGCTGTAGATAAATGGCTAAATACCAACGACACGAGTGCCTACCGACAGTTGCCGTACGCTACATCCATCATTCTGGCTTCCAACATAAATGTAATATAGGGAAGGTAAATATCCTTTCGGAACTACTGTTTGCGTATTGACCTTACTCGGCCTACATGAGGCGTTTTCGGAAACTTACTCGGGTTGTTCGGATCCCTAACCTGAACGTTCCGTCACCCAAACCGAGTTACCTACCTCTGTTCGGATACTTGAATGATGCTAACTCTATCACTGACTCGGGTTGATTTTTCGTGACCCAACTCAAAAGCAGGGTCGCCAGAGTTGCAAAGGACACCGCATGCGCATTACGAAATTCAAGTCAAAAAACGCGGGAGCTTACATTCGACGATAACAATAATAATAAAATAATTTGCATGTTGGGAAAATCACGACCGGTGATGTACATGTTCTTTTCAATCTCCATAATTTGATTAAAGTGATTCATTGAGACGGGAATTTAGGCAGGGGTGAAGTTTGTGGTTATGTGCAACATTACATATGAGACAAGTACACCAATCCACAGGTAAATATAAATATTTGTAATCAGATCAAATAATTACTTAAATATAATGTGACCATTTTCGTTTGTCAAATTCATGAAACCATGCACAGAAAAATATAATATTCAGTGTTCCTAATCTGACACGTTCGTAAACGTTGAACACGAGTAGATGATCCGAGTGTTTTGTCACGTGACCTATCTGGATCGAGTTATCAACCCAGAGTAAGTTTCCGAAAACGCCTATAGACTGTCCCTCTAGAAGATAGATTCTCCGGAAAATTACTTGAGAACGAAAATAAGAGACTTTTTCTGAAAATATAACCCAGGTCTGCTTACCATCCTAAAAACTAGGGTGCCTTGATCAATGATTATAATACGACTCGACTACAGAAGGATTGTTTATTTCTATAAGACACAAAGTTAGCTCGCCAATCGCCACATGTGACGTCACTGACGAACTTGGTTGACATTATTTACATGTAAATGGCGGTGAATTAGCTGTGTTCTGGCGAGATGTTTATAAGGCATCTCGATCAGTTCTGGCAAAGATTATTTCGATTATTACAACAAACTTTGGTGTTCTGGTAGTTTTCAAGGGTTACATTTTTGTTCAGGATAGACAAATTCTGTATGAAATATAAAGAAAACGCAAACGGGCAAACTGTAGAGTGGTATGTGGACCCTGGATTATACCTTATACCTTTGATTGATGTATTACGCTACGCTTGAATTTACCTACTAGTGTTTTCTTTGGTAGTGATTTGTAGAAGTTATTCTTTCAACTGGATCAATTAATAAGCGTGAAAATATGAAAAATATCATTTCAGTGCTGATGCAACGAAAAAAGAGATTTCTAGCATTGTTTACCTCAAGTTTGAAGAAAGGCAATGCATTGAACATAGGTATTCCGTTTCGTGCGCCCCAAGAGATAAAAAAAGTGTGGTGAATAATATACCAATAAAAATAGCTACAAAGTAACAATTCCAAATAGGTTGAAACATGACTTCTATGTAAACTCTGAACTATCATGAGGATGAACTATACACGCTTTGCGTCTCGGTTAACTATAATCCCACGACAGGAATGAATCTCTCCACCTCGGTGTGTAATATACTATTTGTATTCTTACTTCCATTGTTGATAACACAAGATGTACCTAATCTATAATTCTTCGCGACCCATATTTTGTCAATAAACATTGTCTATTTCTTCTGTTTCGACGGTTTCTTCAAGATTTTCCAATTTAATTTCATGATTTTCAATTTCGATATCACATTCTTGTTTGACGACAACACTGTCAAATTCACTCTTCACTTTGTGTGATTCGAGGTGTAGAGTCAAATTTTCAGCACTAGGGAATGTTTCATAGCAACTCTCACATCCAAATGATTCTCCAACAGTGTGCGCAGAATTGGAAAGCTCTTTTTGGGAAATCTCGCAGCCCATAGATTGTTCACGAGCGTGCACATTATAGTGCGTAGTTAGATGTATCAGGCGGGCGAATGTCTTTCCGCAAATATAACATTTGTGAGGTTTTTCATCAGTGTGAATGAAGTAGTGGTTAGTCAAGATGTACTTGAATGAAAACTTTTTGTGGCACACATCACATTCGTAAGGTTTCACACCGGTATGCAGGACTTTGTGTGCTACCAAGGATTTCTTGAACGCAAACTTCTTGAGGCAGACATCGCATTCAAAAGGTTTCTCACCAGTGTGCAGAAAGTTGTGTCTGATCAAACTGCGCTCGTAGGCAAACTTCTTGTGGCATATTTCGCACTCGTGAGCATCTACACCACTGTGCAAAATACTGTGCTTCTTCAAGACCCATCTGTGGGTGAATTTTTTGAGGCAGACGTCGCATTCGTAGGGTTTTTCACCGGTGTGCAGCAAGTTGTGCACTGTTAAGCTTTTCTTTAGAACGAACTTCTTGAGGCAGATAGTGCATTCGAAAGATTTCGCACCACCGTGCGAAAGGCTATGTCTGGTCAAACTACGCTTGTAGACAAATTTTTTGTGGCATACTTTGCATTCGTGGGCGTGAGGTTTTTCTTTGTCGTGCATGATACTGTGCTCTCTCATGGTCGATTCAGTTGTGAATTTTTTATTGCAAGTTTGACATTCGTAAGGCCTATCACCAGTGTGCAACATGGTATGCCTGTGCAAGGAATCTTTAGCGGTGAACTTCTGGTGGCAAATTTCACACTCGTAAGGTTTTTCACCGGTGTGCGAAATTTTGTGTTTTTGCAAAATATGTTTTGTGGTGAACAGCTTATTGCAAATTTCACATTGATAAGGGTTTTTACCGCCGTGTATATTACTGTGTTTGTTCAAACCCTGTTTCGAGTTAAAAAATTTGCTGCAAATATCACATTTGAAAGGTTTTTCACTTGTGTGCGTAATACTGTGCCTTTTCAAACAATGTTTCGTAATGAAAAGTTTGCTGCAAATTTCACATTCGTAAGGTTTTTCACCGGTGTGCAAAACACTATGATTGCTCAAACTCCGTTTTGTATTGAAAAGTTTGCTGCAGATTTCACATTTGTAATGTTTTTTATCGGTGTGCAATATACTGTGATTGTGCAAACTCCTTTTCGTGGTGAAAAGTTTGCTGCAAATATGACATTTGAATCGTTTTTCTTCAACAACTGGATTCTCCATTTCCCCACAAAGAAATATCTTCAAATGGACTAGACCTTTTGTGCATGAACATCTTTGTGCATAAAAAAAAGATCTTCAATCGATATTCTCGATCAGCAATATCTTTCAACATGATGCATTTTTTCTAGAAGCGAAGACAATGTGGGTTGCTGATGAAGCTGTGGGTATAATTTTTGGTAACTGCTGGCTGCATACTATCTGCAAAAAAAACAAAAAAAAAACTAAAACAAGATCAACTATTTCATTAAACCAATTTGATGAAGTTCGCATTCGTTAGGGTCCCTTGACGCAAACTGACGTATTTGTCATCTTAACAGGGTACGGACAGATCCTCGTCTCCTCTCACTCTGAAGTGTTTGTGAAACAGTTATACAGGGTGTTTCGAAATTCGACCGACAACGCTTCACAGGTGGTAGCTCTCGTGATTCAATAAATAATGAGGCAGGAACATAAGGCTCTGACGTGCTTAGTTATCGAGATACAGGGTGTTGAAGTTGAGAAATAAAAATAGTTTTTTCGCAATATCTCAAAAACGGCTGATTTTTTTTCATTAAAATTCGATGAGCAAATTAAAATTGAGAATCTCCATTTCCAGACGTCGAATTCATATTTGACAATTGATCCAGTGGCGCCATTAAGGGGGTATGATTGCATGATTTTCCAAAAAAACATGTGTTGCGATATGAATCTTGGAAATTTCATATGATTATATCAAAGACCATTCAATTTTGAATTAAAAATGCATACTTGATGGATCTCGATAGAACCCACCATTTTCGAGAAAAAACGAAAAATGTAAATAGTATTCCAATCACTTCATTCCCAATCGATCAATCAGATAAAGAAAATTCACCCAAAAAACCACAACAATATTGAAAAAACTATAAATAAGTATTTCGGAAACTAATAAGTAGACATCCTTAGTAGTCCTCAGTCCCACAGGTTATTTTCGGAGAATATCTCAGTCAGCGAATTAGTTTTTACTTTTCAGGACTTCTGAGGATGGCAATTCAGTTGCCGAAATACGTATCAAGAGTTTTTTCAATACTGTTGTGGTTTTTTGGGTGAATTTTTCTCATTTGATTGATCGATTTGAAATGAAGTAATTGGAAGACTATTTACATTTTTCGTTTTTTCTCGGAAATGGTGGGTTCTATCGAGATCCATCAAGTATGCATTTTCAATTCAAAATTGAATGGTCTTTGATAAAATCATATAAAATTTTCAAAATTTATATCGCAACACATGTTTTTTTGGAAAATCATGCAATCATACCCCCTTAATGGCGCCACTGGAAGAATTGTCAAATATGAATCCGACGTCTAGAAATTAAGATTCTGAAGTTTGATTCGCTCATCGAATTTGAATGCAAAAAAATCAGCTGTTTTTGAGATATTGGGGAAAAACTATTTGTATTTCTCAGTTTCAACACCCTGTATCTCGATAACTAAGCACGTTAGACCTTTATGTTCCTACCTCATTATTCATCAAATCACGAGAGATACCATCTGTGAAGTGTTGTCGGTCGAATTTCGAAACACCCTGTATAGTTCCATCCTTATTCAATTCTGGGGAAAAACACTTGATTTTTGACATTTGTTGCTTTTTAGGTTATATTGAGGTCATTGGCGTATCATACGTAATTTCTATATGGCATTCCTGAATCAACTATACCAAGATGTAGATAACAGTCCTCTAGTATTAGAGTTTACTACTCCAGTGTAATCTTTGCGAGGTAGGGAACATATAAATTGTACTGAAAGCTTAATATATTTCACCGAAAGAGACTGTTCTTAGACTGTATACCAGGGTTGACTGAATTGACTGAATGAATTCTGATTTCATGCTGAGCAGTAGTTTATCTATGAGCTGAATGAGCTGAGCCTTATGATTGAGAAATGGCAAATGGTGAAAACCTCGATGTGAGTATCTAATAACTACTGTACTCATGTCATGTATGCTAAATATATTTTCGGAAATCCAACTCGAAGAAGAATTTATGGAGTAACTAATATCATATATATGAATGAAACTTCGTCTGGGACGAAAAGTAGGCTGATAAAAAGTAATACGTAAAATGTGCAGGAAAGTGAAGAATAGAATATACTTTACCCCAAAGATACATATGATTTTTTCGTCTCCCTTGAATAAAAAGTAATTTTCAAATAATTCATTGATGAAAGTAAACAGGAGTAGGTAGGTATACAGTATAACTTATAGGCACGTTATTTTCACTCTTGCATCCTACATATTTTCAATTTGTGGTAGAATAATGATTATATAAACTTATGTTAAAAGTGCAGTTTTGAGCAGTGGTTATTTGAATACCACTAGAGGTAAGATAAAACACATCATTACACAGAATTCGTACTTGGCTGATTACAATCAATTTCATCAACTTCAGTGACCCACAATTTGGTTCGAAATATTTTTTTATTTTGTGAGAGATTACTGCACATACCCTTCAGCGATATTCGTAGATTTCCAAGCAAGAATGTCTCCACTAGAATTTGCTTGTTTCTTTAGTTTTTCAAAATACTATTCATTTTATACTCCTTTTCAGCTCGGCATTCTATCTCTTCAATTTTTCAAACTACTATTTTTGTTCTACTTCTTCTTAATTCGACTAAGTTTCTACGAACGCGTGTTTGATTGATTTCTCAAATAACTATTTATTACAAAGCTCGATCGCCATATTGGATCCGTCATCTTGAATATCCCAATTTTGATAAAAAAATCATAAAGTTCGACCCCGAAAGCCCCCAGATACCAATCTTCAATAGAATCAGATCATAATTAGAAATGTCTTCCGCCATATTGGATCCGTCATCTTGAATTTTCCAAGTTTGACGAAACAATCATTATCTCCAACTCCGGAAAACCCCAGATACCTTCAAATTTTGAATAGAATTAGATCATAATAACAAAACTCGTTCGCCATATTGGATCCAAAATACTGTGCTAGTTAGAGATCCGTTCAATATATACAGGGTGGGGCATTAGTGCGTCGGAGCTCCAGTTCCAGTTCTATGAAAGCTAGAAACTCCATTCAAAAACGAATGTGAATGAGACAACAAAGTCCATATCTAGAAATTATTGACGCATAAACAGAGAGGGCACCGGAAAAAATCTAGAGGGTCAGGATCACTTTTTTCAAATGGAATGCCTTATATATTAGCACAGCATTTTTTCAAGCATTCCTGTGACCTCCAACAACTCCAATATTGTTGACTATATCTAGATCATTTCCAAGTTATTGATTTTTTTGTCGAAATAATGTCATCTGCAGATGCATACCACTGCAGTCACAATTAAGAAATTGAAGAGAGAATAATCATAATATCATTTGATGGAAAGATGTGTGATATTTCAGAAATAAATTTTACTCAGCAGGCAGAGGTACTAATTATTCCTGGTAGGTATAATTCTTTGGATGATGAGCATCAGAAACAAATTTTACATCTAAGGGTGGTGCATCGATAAAAAAATACTCAGCAGGCAGAAGTAATGATTATTCCTGGTAGGTATCATTCTTTGGATGAAAATGAAGCCTTTCTCTAGTCTTTGATCGCGGCAGTCCTGTGCTGAGCTTCAGAAATGAATTTTGAATTTGAGGATGGTGTATCGAAAAAAAAAATACTCAGCAGGCAGAAGTAGTGATTATTCCTGGTAGAAATCATATTCTACAGAAGGAATTTAAGCGTTACCATCATGTTTGATAGCGGCAGTCCTGGAGCCAAGCCCTGGGAATATACGGTGTGTGCGATTTCAATTGGCAACACCCTCCTAATTTGGAACCTGTCGACCGATTTTCAGAAACAAACATTCATAATATAGTACTCAACGGGCCCTATTCGAAAATGTGGGCAAATCTCAAATATTCAGATTATCAAGGCCTACTTTTGATTGTTGAAAGGGCCAAAATTTCAAAAACGACTATTAGGCAATTTTTTGTTGAAACACAAATCTCATATAGGGTGTTAATTATTCAATGGCAAATGCAGATATTTATGATTTTTCGATTCGCCCTGTATCAAATCTAAGGAGTTGATATACCTGGTGAAGTAGTCATTCAATGGAGAAACACATCGAATACTTCATCGCTGTAACTTCTACAGGAAGATCTCTCTAGGTCAACCAAAAATCAAAAAAACTTAGTACCTCAAGTAAACTGTTTTTCACACACTCCACCACACAGTAACTTTGAAAATCGTCTCGATTGATAAAGAACTGTCCAACATAATAAAAATAGAATGACAGAAAAACGCTCTCCAAAGAATGCAAGGAGATTTACTGATACTCAATGTGATCATAATAACATTATCAATTTTGGCAAAATAGAAGGGAATTTTAGATCACAATGGAAATCGTTATGTATAGAGAATATTCCCTTGAATTAGTTACCATTACTCAAATTACCAGACAAAAAAGATAAATGGATCATAATAAAAAATGTGTCAACTTCAATTTCATTAATTTTTGGTTGACCCAGAAATATCTTCCTGTAGAAGATACAACGATGAAACTTCGTATCTGAGTATTCGATGTGTTCCTCCATTGAATGACTACTTCACCGGTTACATCAATTCCTTAGATTTCGATCGATACAAGGTACCTAAATCAAAAAATCAAAAATATCAAAATTTGACACTGAATAATTAACACCCTATATGAAATGTTACGTTCAACTTTCGTATGGGAGTATTTCAGCTATGCTTGAACCGAATAGGCTATAGTCACAGTTTCGAAAAAAATTGCCTAATAGTCGTTTTTGAAATTTTGACCATTTGAACAAACAAAAGTAGCTCTGAAAATCTGAATATTCGAAAATGTTTTCACATTCTCGAATAGACATCGTTGAGTATACTATCACATGGAATTTTTGTTTTTTTGAATCGTTCGACGGGTTCCAAATTAGAACGGTGTTGCGGGTTGAAATCACACACACTGCATATTATATTATTTTTCTTCATCAATGCGTGGCACCACTGAACTTTTGTAAAGGAGACAAAATTAAGTGAATACTTGTATGTATGCTAGGTATTCATATGTTTATTCCACTATAACTGTAATAATTGTTATGCGGATAGGAATCATATCTTATTCGAATAATTTCACCTCGAATTTTACAGACAGAAAAAATTTTCGAGGTCAGCCACTGTTTATTTGAGTATCTTCACACATTTAGCTGTTGATGGTCTGCCAAAAAATGAAATAGATAACCAAACAAAAATCCTTATCAATAATATTCAGCTAGCCAGAAATGCATCAACCAACAAGGTCACTATCAACTCCGCCTTGGACAACCTCCCGGATGATATTCTAGACCTCATAACTGAGAAAAAAGCAGCCAGAAAACGTTGGCAGCGACTTAAAACGGCCGAAACCAAAGAAGTTTTTTTGAGGCTGGGCCGTGAAATCGACAACCGTATCAGAGAGGTCAGGAATGCTGCCTGGAGGTCCAAGGTGGAGAACCTGAGTCCCGCGGACAACACACTTTGGAGGGTCACCAAGGGACTTAAACGAAAATTTGTCCCTATACCTACCCTGGAGTGTTGTACGGGGGAAGCAATGACAGATCCACAAAAGGCGGAAGCGCTTGGGAGTCAATACAAAACAATGAGCCAAATCAATAAAAACCCAGAAAATATCGAGCAGGAAGAGATCATCAGAACAGCAGATAGAGTAAGGAACCTACCGAGCGTTCCATTGTCTCGTCGAGTACTGGAAAAATATCTTACGACCCCTTCAAAAGTTAAAGGCATTATAAAGAGATTAAATCTCAACAAGGCACCAGGACTCGACGAGATTGACACTATTCTCCTAAAAAATTTACCGCGTAAAACGATAGTGCAACTGCACTATATAGTAAACGCCATTATCAGACACCAGCACTACCCAGAGTCCCTGAAGACGGGGTTGGTGATCCCAATTCTCAAGCCTGGCAAAAATCCTAAATTGCCAAGCAGCTACCGTCCGATATCGCTGCTCAGCATGATTGCTAAGGTGGTGGATAGGACCCTCCTTTATATGATCAACACTCTTGCCGAAGACCTGAGTGTAATTCCTCCTGAGCAGTTCGGGTTTCGAAAGGGGCATAGCACAACGTCCCAAGTTGCCCGAATTGCTCACGGGATAAAAGAAGCCTTTAACCAGGATAAGAACACTGTTATGGTACTGATGGATATCGAGAAAGCCTTCGATACGGTGTGGCATGAAGGTTTAATATCCAAGATGGTTAAGGCAGGGCTGCCGATATTTATTGTGAAGATCGTGGACTCGTATTTAGCCCATAGGAAAATAAAAGTCAAAATCAATAGTACAATTTCAACAAGTCAGCCACTCGAGGCAGGTGTTCCACAGGGGTCGTGTTTGTCACCCTTGTTGTACTCTTTATATATTTATGATTTTCCTGTGTTTGAACGTACGAGAACTGCACTGTACGCCGATGACACGGTAGTATATACGCACATACGTACAGTTCAGACGTCGCCTGGACTCAGATCCAGATCCATCTGGACAGGAAAATCATACCGTATTTTGACAATGCAAAGATCCGTGTCAATCATGAGAAGACTGAGTTGATGAATTTCACTAAAAAATATACCAACAGTACTTTACACGGGCCTTTGCTTGTCAAAGACGCAGGGGTGACGGTCAACACCTCAGTGAAATACCTGGGAGTAGTGCTGGACAAGCGTATGTGCTTCAGAGAGAACATCACGAAATTAATTGGTAAAGGCCATGCAGCCATAAGACAATTGTATCCATTGTTGGTCAGGAATTCAGGACTAACAATGGAAAACAAACTGCTCTTATACAAGCAAGTGATAAGACCTGTGATTACATACGCTTGTCCGGTGTACTGTAGCGCCTCCGCCACTCAACTGAAAAGGCTACAGGTGCTACAGAACAAGGTACTCCGAATCATTACTAACGGTAATAGATACACTCGAGTGGCTGACATGCATGCTCAATGTCATGATCTACCCTTGATAAAAGATTACATCATCAACGTTTCAAATAAATTTTTTAAACATCACATCCAGAACAGCGAACTCACAAGAGATATAACGAGAATAAGGGCAGATCATGACATCCGTAGGAAACATGGGCTGATTTATGAGGCCAGCGATGTATTCAGGGAACCCCCTGAATAACTCCCCCAACCTCCTCTCATCTCTAATAGACTGACTCTAGACAACAAATAGCTGAGAAGCTGAATTGAACGAGAACGGTAGCCGTTTGGCCGGGCCGTATAGTCTAAACACTGTGTGGCCCGGCTGAACGACTATCGGAGCATTACCATCGAGCAGGACTCAGAGATAGCACGCCTATCGGCTAAAAAAAACTAGTGTATTTGCCGATACGAAATCATTCTATTAGATCCCAATCATTAGATCCCAATCACTCTCCCACACCTATCCCACCCCTCATCCCTCATAGTGTCTTTCACAGAGAAATTTCAGAAGTTGGTTTTTTATTTTCATTTTCCAACACAAAAAATGCTAAATTAGAGAGAAAAAGGTAGCAATCGACGATCAATCTTTTTTGCCCTGGGCAACTCACTGACATGAGCTGGATTAAAGGTTTACTCCTAGGAGTCAGCTCCCTCATGACTGCCATCAGGGTTGTTAGACAAAAATCATCGGTAAGGCCCGCATCGGCTGCCTCTGAGGGCTCCCTTGGAGGGTAATTCTGTGGCGTATCTAAGTGTTTTACATTGTATGTTTTACATTTTTATCATGTCCAATGTCCCCTTTAGAAGATTTTTGTTTATACACCCTGTATTGTAAAAATGTTTTTATTGAATAAATGGAATTGAAACGGTCTGCCAAGTTCACACCCTGAAGAAATATTTGGTGCGCCACTGGTCTTTCGGGTAACTTCGGAAATTTTAGCCGCTGGCTTGGTCTGCCAAATTCACACCGGTACAAATCACAGCAAAAAAAAAACAATTCAGGAAAAGGAAAAACCACTCACCCTCAGGGAAACTTCAACAATTCCTTGCACCAACCGTGTTAAACTATTGAAAACTTGAAATGTTGAAAAGTAAAAGTTCGATTGATAACATAACAATAACAAATAATAACAAATGACAATTGAAGTGAGGCACAGCGTTGCCAGCCCAGCAACTCAAAATGTACTAGTTTTTCGAGAAAAGTACAAGGTTTGGATGTTTGATGTTCATTCAAACTTCCTATTATTGAGTAAGTATAGGGGAGAGAGGGGGGGAGCAAGAAAAAAAAAATGATGAGAACTTATTATATTATTATACAGATTATATTGTGAATATTATATCATTTCTCAATTCTCATTAATCAAAATACGTCAATCGTCTTGCATTTTTATTCATAAAATATACCTTTGAATGACAATATAAAATTATATAGACACGTAATGAGACATAAATAAGCACAAACTTCAAAACTTGAGAATCTTGGGATGAAAGACCTTTCACTGATATAGCTCATTGTACTTTGCTTTGGTTCATTTTGGTAATGTTGATGATTCGATATTTCAAGTCAAAACGTGGACTTTTGCTATCGGCGTACTAGCGTATACTAGACGAAGGGAGAAGATACAAGATCTAGTACGAAAGTACTAGGTCTGGATCGTTTTCTTCGAAACGCACTGGACTGTCAAACTGTAACTAGCTCATAAGTCTTCTACTACATCCATAAAATCTCATTCTTCAGGAAAATTTACTTGCTCAGCCTGCGAAAAATGGGAATAAACTACCATTTTCATTCGATTTTTGAAAAAAAAAAAGATTTTTGGAAAAAAAATCGTTTTCACCGGAACGCACCAGACTGTCAAACTGAAACTAGCGCAGAAGTCTTCTGCTACATCCATAAAATCCCATTCTTCAAGAAAATTCACTTGCTCAGCCTGCGGAAAATGGGAAACTATATTTTCGCTCGATTTTTTTTCGAAAATCGAGGAAAATGATATTTTCCCATTTTCGGCAGGCTGAGCAAGTGGATTCACTTGAGGAATAAGATTTTATGAATGTATTAGAAGACTTTTGCGGTTTGACAGTCTGGTGTGCGTTTCGGAGAAAACGATTTTTTTTTTCGAAAATCGAGAGAATATATTATATTTTTCCATTTATCGCAGGATGAGCAAGTGAATTTTCTTGAATGGAATGAGATTTTATGGATACAGTAGAAGACTTCTGCGCTAGTTTCAGTGTGACAGTCTGGTGCGTTTCGGAGAAAACGATTTTTTTTTCCGAAAATCGAGTGAAAATGATAGTTTTCGTTTTTCCGTAGGCTGAGCAAGTGCATTTTTTAAGGAATAAGATTCAATGAATGTAGTGGAATACTTAGTAGAATCTCCGAAAAGTTAAATTGAACTCGTTTTTCTTCATTTTATTATGAATTAAATTTTGAATGTTGTCAAATCATTAGCAGTATGATGATCTCTGAAATTTTCAATTTTAAATCCGATTATATGGAATGAAGATGGTCGAGAAAGATTTTTTTCAGGCTGAGCAGGTGATTCTTTCTGGAGAATACCTAACATTTTAACTGGTGTGAAGTCAACATAATATGAGGTATTGATGTTTTATTCATCTGATATCATGTGCATATGTGAGTCGAAATTCTATTCAATTTGAGTAATTAGATCATGAAGCTTTCATGTAATTGATTCATTTTAGTAAAATAACATTTATTGAATAATAAATTGACCGCCCGCCACTGGTATTGTCTGTCGGGTAAGTTCGGAAATTTTAGCAGCAGCCAGCTTAGGCAGCCAAGTTCACGCCTGTTGTCAGTTTATTGTGAGGTTAAGAAAAATCATTTCATATCATGATTTATTTTTATTTTGATTTTTGCTTTCCATCATCACAACATTCACAACATTCTTAACTTGTTTTTGTTTATGTGTAGTGATCTCAAAAGGGCTCCGGTAGTTAAATGGTGGAGAAATAAGAAATGTTCAACAACATAATCCTACTATCCTGAATCTCGAGCAGTTTTTCTATATAATTATCGAAGGTTGAAACAGCTACATTGAAAATTGAGGACACAGTAAGTACCTACTACCAATGAATGAAAAACATAGGTAAATACCTACTTCTACTCTTGTACTACACAAATTTTGAAAATGCTTGACTGAAGCCTGAACTGAAGCTTCTGATCTGATTTGAACTCGAATCTGATTAACACTATTGGGAACTGAAGATAAAGGAATGAAGCCGAGAATGAAGCTACCAAATAATAAAAGAAAGTGTATAGATTGCGGACCAGTCGGACTGGTCGGGAGTCTAAAAAAACAAAAATTGATCCATTTTCTTATGAGAATTTACATGTATCTCTTAGAATAAAGTGTATAATCTTTGTTACACAGGTGGTGCTTCTCAGACCCCACAGCTGTTTACTGCACTGTCACAATCTTATTAACTAACCAAAGATTGAATTTGTACCAGAATATCACAGAATGAAGTGTTTCAGGAAGCTATAGGCAACCAATGAAACGTGCATGCATTCAAATTGAAATGCCAGTGATTTGAAATTTGTCTGGCCATCTGAGACCCTACCTGGGTGACGCCAGGTTAAAGTTGATAATTTCTTGAAAATAGTTGAATGGTCTTCATCCTAAACAAAAAGTACAATCTGCCGACCGGTCGGCAACCTAAAAAAAAGTATAGATTGCCGACTGGCCCGATTGTGCGTTGAAAAAAAAATTGTTTGCCCAATTTCTCCAAAACGCCCTGTATTGTAATTCCAAATATAGCTTGTCTGTGAGCAAGAACTGGTAATCTCCAGTGCAGTGAAAGTATGTGTATTTTATAATGTTGGGGGATAGTATTCATGGACATGCCAAATATAGCAGAGCTTGTCTGTGTACGGGAAAGGGTGAAAAAAAAAGAAAGGAACGTAAAATTCTGGCATTTTCTTGGTGGCAAAATGTTTGTTTAATTTGTGGTAAAAAAAATGTGTGTAAAAATGTTTCCCCTCCCCCACTACCGTTTAAAATTTTTGTTTGCCCAATATCTCCAAACGCCCTGTATTGGAATGCCAATATAGCTTGTCTGTGAGCGAGAACGGTTAATATCACAAGAGTCTCGAGATCATACCCGTGTGTTCACCGAACACGCTCGATCGTTACCTAAGCGGTGGGGAGACCAAGACGTAAGACGTAATCAGGCAGTCATGGAGTCATGATACAATGAGTGGGCAGGCAGCTTCTCTCATGCTGTCTTTGTTTTTGTAGTACGGGGTGGGCCTCGGCAATACAATAGTAAGGCCAGAAAACCTGGTAAATTGTTCTCCCAACGCAATCCTCAATTTCGTTAAGAAATTGGATATACAGGGAGAAATATAACCCTAGGGTGAGCCACAATAGGCCAATGGCCGCAGTGGAGGGCCTGACAATAGGCCCACTCACGTTCAACCTAACCTAACCTAACGGGGTGGGCCACCAACAGTTTTCTTGATCACATTTCAACATTTTTTTTTTTCGAATAAATAAGAAACATTTGATAGGCATCAAGTGACCTATCAGATAATGAAAGCGATGATTTGATTTGCAATAATTCGCTATGTCCGAGGCTATGTCACGACGAGTCCTACATGTAAATAGCGAACCACTCATCGAAAATCATGAAACTATATGTACATATTATATGCTTATGTTTTGTTGGCGAGGACGCTCGTTTTTATTCAAATTATTTTCGATAATGTTCATCTGCTTCACTAGAAATTATTATTAGTAGTTATGTTAGTACTTAGTAGTATAGTATATAGTAGCAGCTTTGTTATTCAAAATGGAACACCTTATATTTCATTACATTTTTCGATTCTTCTAATTGAGCTATGATTTGGTTGATCAAGCTCAAGGTATACCTATACGTAGAATGTGAAAAATCGAGATTTTTTTTGTATCAAAACTATATACAATACCTATATATTGATTTGTCAAAATGGCTCACATGTGTCCCTATCCTAACATTCTATTTACTATCTACTGATGCCATTTAATTGAAACAAATACAGGGTGGATCAGATTTCAGAATTGAATAAAAGAAGTACTAGTATGCCTACTAAAAAAATATATATATTTGAAATAAACAAACCAAATATATCACATAAAAAAATACACTCTAATATTCAACATAAAATAAAATTCAATCCCACTGGACGTATTTAAAAATATAAACAGTGTGCATGTCACTTCTATAATGGAATATCAACCCGTATATCTAACGTAACTGTTCAATTTTAAGGAGCGATAGATATATATACCAACTATGACCAAAGTGGGGTAATCTTCAGTGAAAAACACTGCTCTGGTCATGGACCCACCAACATTTCCGGAAAATGATATTAGGAGGCAAGATAGGTTAAAAATCACTTCGGATTCGAAATCAGGACGTAACCCTGTACCTCGAAAACGAAGCATGTTTAGGACACATGTTTATATGACCTTTATTCATCATTTTATATAATTATTTCGGTGTTATTTAGATACACCCTGTATAGATCATTCTTCATCCCAACATTTTTCCCATGGCGAAGTTCAGCAAATACCGATGGCGAGAGCACTATGTTTATTGATTTGATGTCTACCTATAATATATGTAAAACAAGAAGGCACAACTACTAGTGTTCCGTTTCGAAGTACATTAAATTGACAAATTTGACTCCAAAATAATTCAGGCACGCGCCAATATTCATAACGTAGTTACTGCTGCCCGTTTACGTTTCCCCACCGCTTAGGGAACGATCGGGCGTGTTCGGTGAACACACGGGTATGATCTCGAGACTCTTGTTTAATCTCGAGTGCAGTGGTATTTTATAATTGTGGTGGATAGTATTCATGAAAATGCCAAATATAGCTTGTTTGTATACGGGAAAGGGCAAAGAAAAAAGAAAGAGCGGAACGTAAAATTCTGGCATTTTCATGGTGGCAAAATGTTTGTTAAATTTTTGTGATAGAATTATTGCCCCTTCCCTATCGTTTAATATTTTTCTTAGGAAACTCTCGTCGTATTAGAGTGACTATTCCACTCTTGATCTCGAGAACCAATCAGAATCGACCATTTTCATGGTTTCTTCTGTATTATAGAGATATTTTTTGTATATTAAATTTTATCGGACT